CATTTGTGGATCTTTTCCTCTTATGGTAATTTAAAGTTAACTGTAGGTGACTGAGACCTGATGCATGTGCGACTGAACAAAAGACTTATCTTCAGGAGATTACCTCTGTTCAAAACCGAATGCCAGACCGCCACACACACAAACATACACTCACTTAAACATGCAGAGCCTCAGAAAATATGCCAGACCTCTCTGGTGGAAATAACAACATTACCCTTCCCATTCCCTCCTGCTCTAAAAGCCTGGGAAGTAGCACAGGAAGCTCGCAGGGTTCTGGGAAAAAAGGATACATGGAAATACTCCACACATGCTTTTTCTGTTCAATGGCACATACACACATTAATACTGACTAGTTTAAACACAAAGAGTAGATGTCTCTCATTTGCAAAACAAACAAAATTTGCAGGCGAAAGGAAAATATAGTGGAAAATAGTTGAAAACCTCTTTAACAGGACCGTTTGTGATCGTGTTTTGTACACCGCTGGCAGCACTTCAGTGTAAGGTTGCATTGATCACTCATTCAAGATAACTGTAACACATATGGGGCGCTTACATGCTCTGTCTTAAATGATCGAATTTATATCCTAATCATGAATGAATGGCAATAACTCTCTCCGGAGTGCAGGGACAATTAGATTACTGTATAACTGTAGGTTGCTTTTATGCGTACGTGTGAGAAAGTATGTGAGTGATGTGCTCTTATCCGGCTCTGTGCAATAATAATAAGGTATTGATACAGAATGTTTGTTTACTTGCACAATAGAGCAGTTTATATATCAAGATCTTATTTGCAAAAGCTCTCAACAATTTATAGTTTCATTTTCTTCTTCCCTGCTCAGTGACAGAGGCTGGCTTTGGTGCAGACATTGGCATGGAGAAGTTCTTCAACATAAAGTGTCGAACATCTGGGCTGAAGCCTGATGTTGTGGTGCTTGTAGCCACTGTACGGGCTCTGAAGATGCATGGAGGTGGACCAAATGTAAGTATGTGTGTGTAGCTGTGCGCATATTCACACATCCCTTTATATGCCTGACTGCTTTAAAAATACATTTCATATATTCACTACTTTTTATATTTACTGTATATTTGGAAGGTTACAGCTGGTGTACCACTGCCTAAAGAATATATCAATGAGGTAAGCAATGTTTATTTCCCAATCTTATGGCAAATGACCATATTTGTATTAGGGATGCTCTGATCTGCCTTTTTCGCCTCTGATTCCGATACCTAGGGTTCAGTATTGGCCGATACAGATACCGATCCGATACCAGTGAAGTCCCAGTCCCTAATTTAAATAAATGTTGAATTTATATATCTCTGTGTGTGGAACTGATAATATATTAGGGATGCTCTGATCTGCCTTTTTCGCCTCCGATTCCGATACCTAGGGTTCCGTATTGGCCGATACAGATACCGATCCGATACCAGTGAAGTCCCAGTCCCTAATTTAAATAAATGTCGAATTTATATATCTCTGTGTGTGGTAAATATGTATATATATATAAATATATAGCATATTTTTTAATAAGGCAACAAACATATAGATACGATAGGACAAAACAAATACAGTGCAGCACGAACTGTTTTTATACGGTCAACCCTCAACAGACACCTTGGCATATTTTTTTTTGTTTACTCGCCAGACTGAAATACTATATATATATATATATATATATATATATATATATATATATATATATATATATATATAAATATATGTCATTTTACACACAAATAAAAGTGTTGCACTAAATATGGTAAAATGTTACACATTGCTGTTTGTATTATTATAAAATCCATTCATTAAAAACATTCATGAATGTATTTATATATACGTTTATGCTATAAAATTAAAATACATTTCTTTTAAAATGTATAGCATATTTTTTAATAAGGCAACAAACATATTATAGATACGATAGGACAAAACAAATACAGTGCAGCACGAACTGTTTTTATACGGTCAACCCTCAACAGACACCTTGGCATATTTTTTTTGTTTACTCGCCAGACTGAAATACTATATATATATGTTTGTATAATGGTACAGCTTTTTAAATATCTGAAAGTACACT